CTATAGTCAGGCCTACCTATATATCGCAGTGACCCAAGAGGTTACACTAACTGGAACTACTGTTCCTGAAGGTCCCACCATGCGGGAATAGTCGTTCGTCGAAACATCTGTTAGAGTAAAGGTAGTTACCATTATTGTGTAAGTGATTTGCAATGTGTTGGGGTGGGGGTTGTGGTCAAAGTCGTGCTGCTTGCTAGAGATTGGGGTCGTGATAGTACCAAGCTGTTCCCCTTAGGTGGTCATCATGTCAGCTATACTGCCTCTCTGCTCTGGAGAGTGGGGCGGATTAGACTGAGTCAACCCTGAAAATTGTACATTCCGACTTAGCTTGCAGTGGTTTTAATACAGACTTAACGTCATGGCGTTGTGCTCTGGGCCCTGTTGTTACGAAATACTAATCTCCCTTTGCGTTTCAGGTAGTACAAAAAACAAATCAACCTCTTGCTTATGGAGGAGACTTCCGAAAAAGCACACTCAGCGATCAAGTCCTGTTAACCAGATTATCATTCCACTCTAATCACCATATAATTAGTGATCATTACTTAAGATATATGCAATAACTAAGCATTTTGTTTTTACTTGCCTATTTTCTGTAATCCCTTTCCTCACGCACGCCTTGTTTTTTCTAGGATGCTGTTGTCGTAATCTATCTAGTCGACTGTTCGTTATATTCAACTGGTTCTATCAGAGGCGATGATGGTCGTGGTGGTAATACTGAATTCACTCCGACTATTTCATTATCAAAATGTATTTCACCGGAATTAATTGTTTCAACTAATATTCCAGAGAATGCAAGTCATGATTATGCACAAATTGAAAAGTTAATATTAACAACTTTAAATAGCAGCAACACCAATAGCGGTAAGTCTGTTGAACACATTAAACGCGCGGACAATTTAAACCTGGCGAAACAATTCAACCAATATCATGATAATATACAATTAGAACCATTACTTAGTTCAACACAACTTGTAAATAATAACAAAAAGAAAAATATGTTGAAGACGAATAGTCCAGGGGACGAAGTGCAGCAGCAGCAGCAACAACAACAACAACGGTGGCGGCAAGACCTGGGACAACGGCATAATCTATCAGCTAATAATAATCATAATAATAAAAGGCTACATCAACAGGATATGTCATCCTTGTCAGTAGTGGATCAAGAGAATGACACAATACCTGTGGTGATGACATCATCATCGAAAAAGTTTAAATGGATAGCAGTAAACGAATCTGTAGATATTAGTAACAGTAGTAATCATGATAACAGTCACAAGGACTATCTCCTTCCATCGACTTACGATGATGATGGTCATGATGATGAGTATGCTATTCTGAGTGGAAAACCCTTATGCCATAAACATACAATCTCTAATTCATACAATATTCCAGTGAATAAATTGCCGATATCGACAGCTACTAATCTAATGAAAAGTAAAGACGGTGGTGTTAAGTGTTCTTCTATCCTTGATAATGACGACAACAACAACAATAATGAGGATATTATATCATTCGGTTTCAAAATGGTCATGAATAGTGAGAGTATACTTAACAGGCAGTTGAATAGTGAAGATTTTGAAATTGACTTATAGATTAATTATTAAAAATGTAAAAAGAGAATATTTATTTTTCTATTTTTCTCTTTTACTACTTATTTGTATATATATATATATATATATATATATTAATTTTCAATTGATTTACTTGACCCCGACAATATAATTTGGGACACTGTTTTTTTACCTCTATTTTCCTTGGTTTATAATAAATTTTTAGTCATTGACAGGATGAGTAGCTTTCTTTCTCTTGTCTGCGATTTAACTTCTTTCCTATCCTAGTTCATTTGAGTAGTAGGGGTGGGGTGGGGGGGGTCACTCGTTAAGTGGTTTTAGTGTTTACTATCTGTACAAGATGTCTACGTCCGTCTCCTCGCCGATGCACTCTTGGACTACACCTAATTTAATAGCTGACAGACAGTAAGTCGGGAAAGAAAGCAGTGACGACTCTAGCGACGTCTATCAGGGATGCTCACTACCCATATTTTTTGTTAATTGACTTTTTTGCGACTTACTTAGGGGTTTTAGATGTTACCAGGGAGTTAGAGAGTATGAGGGCAAACATGGAGCCAGGTGAAAAAGGTTGGCAGAGAACCAACCAAACGCAATGGAGACGTGAGGCTGAATCCCTATGTTCCTCTAGGAACTAAAGGAAACAAAAATAATAAGAATCTGCTTTCCTGTCATGTTTTGGGGTTGTATCTTCTAGGCTATCCATTTTTTGAATGAAAACTAATCTGATTCCCTCACAGTTTATTCTTGATTATATCACTGGTACGAATCCTTCTAATTTCCGGGGATAAGGAATGGATCAGATTTCGTTTACTGCTCAACAACATCTTGTGGTTCGACCTCTGAAGACAACCTTCATATCTTCTTTACCACGCAAAATCCGGGAGGAAAACGATTACAAAGTAAAACTAACAGGTACAAAGAGTGTTACATTTTGAAATAAAAGAGATCTTCAAGTATTGGTTTTGTTGGGAGTTTTTGTTTGATTGGATGGATGGAGGATTTCATCATGAGCTGATAACAGTTAGAGAAACATTGGAAAACCTGCAGGGAGCACTTGACAGCTGTTTCGTCAGCCTAGTTTGGGATGCTTGTTTTGCTCACCAGCGACTGGCCCTATTCAGGTAGGTAGCTACCTGGGGAACTAGTTGGAAGCCGTGACCAGTACTTGCGTACAGCAGGTTGAAGGTGTGGAAGTAACTCATCGAAAAAAGACATTGCGAAGTGGTCGCTTTATGTCACGAACTAGCAGAAGTTCGAATTCATGGGTTGGCCATTGGGTCGGGTCCCAGTGGCTCAACGGTCTATGAGCTGGCTCGCTCGCCATGTAACCAGAAGGTCTTGTGTTCGAACTATGGTAATGGGTGCGTACTACTGAAGAGTCTCAAACTAGGACGGCGGAAACAGCTGTCTAGCAGTACTCCCTGCAGGTTTTCCAATGGTTCTCTATCTGATGTCGGCTCATATTAAAATTTTAGCTTGGTTGAATGATTATGATGTGGTTTTGTTCTCTGAGTTGATTGTTGGTTAAATTGGAAAGCTTTCGTTCTATCTTTCTAGACACAATATCGATTCAGAGCAGACTACATTATGAAGTGAACTTTGGAAAACTCTACAAACTATTACGTGGAAATTAATCGGATGGATACTCATTTATGACTGACTACAAGACGAAGTTTTTTCGGATTCTGGTGTAAAGTCGTGGCCAGTGTAGTCAATCAGGTCGGTTGTGTTGACAAATACTTGCCTATGACATTGACTGGAGGTAGCACTAAAAATCACGAATTGACAGAAGCTAGCATTGATCGACCATCGGATTCTGTCCAAATGGCTGAATAGTCAAAGAAGTTGATCGCATAACCCGAAGGTTCTGGGTTCGATCTCAAGTGGTGGGGTTATGTGTGCGTACTGATGAAGAGTCCGGAACTAGGATGAACACAGCTCTGTCCAACAGTATTCCCTAGTGGTTTTCAATGCTTTCCTGACTGATATCAACCTCCAGTCAGTCTTGGATAATGTTGGCTGTTGTCCACTCATTTGTCTGGATTCCAGGTTTCTAGAAATCCCCTAAAATATCTAGTCACTTCACCTATTTAGGATTTCTATATTGTTTCAGACAAATTGGTTACCATAGTTATCCAGATGTATTGATTGACGTGAGTAGTTACTTGTCCTACTTTTAGACATCTGGTTGGGCTTCTCGTATACGAAGTCGAATAGGACGCCTCCTTTGATTAATATCATAATACTTACCACAGTTATTTAATTGAATATTTAGATTTTTCCGTCGATTTATTGGACCGAAGTGTACGGTCTCAGGTTGACATGCCTGTTGGCTTCTTGTGCAGATGCCTCGACGATGTCTAGGCAAGTAATTCAAATTTAATCGGTGGATGGTGACTATTATTGGAATCCAAGATGGCTATTCCGTCCTATTTGGGACTCATCAGGTGGATGTACCTGCACCACCCACCAATTAAATTCGAATCACATGCCCAGGCATCGTCGAAGCATCTGCAAAAGAAGCCAACAGGCATGTATGTCAACCTGAGACCGAGCATTCCGATCTAATCTAACGGCAGGATAATCTAAAAATTCAATTAAATAATTAATATGACCCGTTGCGCAAGTGGTGGCTCTTACCAAGATGCATGCAGTTTATTTTGTAGACGTTTATGTATGACAGAAACTCTACGGGGTACTCATTTTGTCCTACTTAGGACTAATCAGCGGGGTATACTTTCACTTCCCCAGTGAAGGGATGATTTTTCCACTGAAACTTGAACACCCGGCACCAATCGTTTCAAACTGCAAAGCGTTTTATCCACTAATTCACTTCTTCCACAAGAAACTCCTCTTGTGCAATGAAGATATAAGTTAGTAATTCGTTTAGGAGGCTGATTTTTGTTCGCCTCACTGACTAATTGACTGCTTCAGTCAAAATGTCAGCTCCCATAGTACGGAATATTCGGCAATGTCTGTGGGATTAACAGAACATTTCGACTGAATCAATCAAACGAAATAAGAAGCTCTGGCGACTCATCAACACAACTCCTAACACCCTTTTTGTGTGTGTGGCTTAGTGTGGGTAGGGAGAAAAGGTTTCTTCAATTGTAGTGTATATTATTTTGATTTGATGAAATCAAGTTACGTAATAACGTTAACTTATTCTTTTGTTTTTATCATCAGCTAATAGTATACGAAAAAAGAGGAAGGTTTAAAACAATATTCAGCAACAAAACCGAAAGAACACATAAGGCAGAATTGCAATCCAATAAAATTATGTTTTTGTTCTATAGGAATTACTTCCGTCACCCCCCCCTCGCCCATATCTTTTCCCATTGTTCAAACGTCCGTAGTGATACAGAATGGAAATATGCAATGATACACCGAAAAATCAGTAAACAGTTACGGCAAAATAATTTCAATCTGTCAGTTAGAAGCTTTTGTAGTCACCAGTTGGACAATATCTTTTCTTTTCTGAGAAAAACTGTCATCTGAAAGATTAGAAAACACATAATAAAATAAAGATATATTTTTGAAAGAAGCATGAAGGACATATTGACACCATTCTCCAATGATCGATTAAATATAGTGTATATATCAGCACATGTCTTTGCCAAGTTATCGGCTTCTTCGTGGGGTAATGCTATTGCTTGACAAAAGATGAGGTTGGAGAATAGAGCTGAATGAATCAAAACTTGAAAATCAAACCATGATCTCTTCAACTGTACTCACTCATCGGGTTCTAAACCCAGGGCCTTCCTGATGGAATGACTCCAGAGGTATTTAAGTACTATGGAGACAGTTTACTGTCCGCATTAACTGAGATACTAGGCAGCGTCTGGGAATCAGAGGAAGTCCCGACGTGTTAATGTAAGTCACTGATTATCCCCATATACAAGAAGGGAGACAAGTCCCCCAACGGATTGATCTCTGACGAGATCTCAGCACGCATACAGAGGGTTAGTTTTGCATATGCCAGTCAACGCCGTCTCTGGATTAGTAGACGTGATGTCCGGCTGGCTATCAACCAAAGGGCGGGTGTACTGCCCATCAGTCCGTTCCGTCCTCCTATATGGCTGGCTGTGAGACCTGGCCATTGAGAGTGGAAAACATCAAAAGTCTGGGTAGCTGTCTTTGATCATAGGTGCCTGCGCTCTATCTCCCGTGTGAAGTGGTGTAATAAGGTGAGCAATATTGAGGTTAGGCGTCGAGTTCTGGGTAAGGAGGGGAAATCAATCGACGAAGTCGTGAAGTTACAAAGACTGAGATAGTTAGGACATATGTTACGTATGCCAAGTCATCGCCTTCCTCGACAATGGGAAATGTTAGCTGACATAGGGTCAGGCTAGAAAACAGCTATCGGCGGTCAAACCAAAACATGTCTTCATCAGTCAATAAAATCCACAGCAGTTAGTTTAAGCCAGTCACCTAGGAAGCTGTAGACTTCTTGACTGGTTGGGGTCCTCAGGACGGTAAAAACCAATGGCTGGAAACTATTGGTGATATGGCGAAAAGTGATTGTTCTCAATGGCTTTCTCAGATGCATCCACTCCTTGTGACTTATGATTTCCAATGGAATTATATTGTTCTTCGTTATTACTATTCGTTTGTCTCACACCTCTGTTTACTGTCTCTATAATGCATTTCCTCGACCTTCTCTTGATTTGTGTGCTACATGGAGTATGGCGACTCGAACTGGTGCACATCGGTGCAATGTCGAAAACACATAGATAGACAGAGGACCTTCCCGTTACAAGGCAAGCCCGTAGATCGTTAAGCTACTGTGCCAGAATCTAATGGCCAGTCTATGAATTCTAACAGTTCGAGATTTTAAGTCGCCCATCAGCTAATGTCATCGGCGGCGAATATTTGTTCTCACTGTCGACCGGCGAAAGGGTACAACAATGGCCACAACTTCTAGTGAGTATTAGATTAATTTTCAAGAGTTTGATTTTAGGGTTGACTGCAGTTCCAGTTCCGGTGGGAAGTTGTGACCAGTGTGCCCCCGCCCCCCCCCCTCCAGTTGGAAGTAAGGAGAAATACTCGCTATTGACACTGGTTGGTGGTCGTGCTAACATCACAAATAGGTAGAAGTTAGAATTTATAAGCTGCAATCGAGTCAGGCTCCAGTGACTGAATGGTTTTGGAACTTGTCTTGCAACCGGATGGTCTTAAATTCGAGCTCAGGTAGTTAGTAGGTGCGTACTTCCAATAAATCTAAAACTTAGACGTAACAGCTATCTAACTGTTCCCCCTGGTTTCCAATGGTACTATAACTGATATTAGTCTGTGATTAAACCTGGATCCTTACAGAAAAACTCTTCAAAGATTTTTGACTTTTGAGTAAAAATTAAGCTAACCACGTTGGCTGAAGTCTTCGAGACTCTCAGAACCGAATGATTGGAGTCTAATAGTGACAATATTCCGAGTCATTATCTATGGATCAATTAGAACCACTAAATCCTCACTAATCTTCGCTTACTTGTGCTTTCTGGAGTAGATTTTGTTTGAATTTTTTCCTACCTTTGGAGGAAAACCAATCATGTACGGTTCAAACTAAAATTCAGCAGCTAGCATAGTATCATTCTCTCCTGTCTACTTCTAACAATATTTACAGCTATATTTTTTTTGGAAAGGTTAAAGGAGGCCTTGGATAAAAGACTTGGAGAGGAACGAACTAGATTCATAAGTAAACAGGTCATCCGGGCATTAAATTACAACAATACACCTCACCGCCATCATCATCGGACAGAGCGGAAAATGGCAGTCACCTATGCAACTCAACTCCAAAGAAATATGCAAACACATTCGACAGCGTCAACTGGAAGGTAATTTGGCGATTAATATAACATTACAGGAAGGAGTACCAGAAACATTTATAAATATCATTTGACAGTGATATAATGACGCCACATGCCAAGTAATTTAATAATAATAATAATATGCTTTATTCCGAAACAGCACTTGTGATACAGAATGGAATTCTCAGCATTTTACTACAGTATTGCTTCCAGCTGGTACATTAACAATAAAATAAAATTCTACATAGATTATGGGTAATCTTAGTTAGTTTTGACAACAACATATTGGCATGTCGGTAGCAAAACCAAAAGTGAACAGAATAATGGTAGGTGTTAGAAAAGTAGATACTAACTAGCATACTTACTGGTGTAAGCGGTAACAAAAATGCTCGAGGTATACAGGGTGTGAAAGAACGAAGAAGAATGTTTTAGGTAGAGAAACATAAGAGCACATAACCAAAAAAAGAGAGAGAGAAAAGGAAAAGAAAGAAAGAAAAACGTTGTACCTATAAATGTGATATGAGTTGGAGAGACGAGATCCAATTGTTCTACTGGCTATTTAATAAGTTAAAGGTTTCACGCCTAATATACTTTCTTTACCGCACAGAACACGAGCTAAGTAGGGTATGGTTGAGATTTTGTACTTGCTAGTGCGAGCATATAGTTTTCTATATAGGCTTCTGGTCTGGTCTGGTCTGGCCTGATGAAATACAAGGGGAGAGTTGTGAATGAAGAGGGTGGTGAAAGTTAGATAGATAAAATGGATTTCGCCCATTTTTCACATGAGTCCAAGTGCCTGTCGACCTGATTATTAACAAGCTGGTTAAGTGGCACACTGCTTACCCTGATGACAACCTTTAACATCCTACGTAATAAGATATAGACCTTGTTCAGTAGCCCTGGAAAAACTAAGGGCCACAATTTACAATGAAAAGATCATCGAAGCATTTTGAAGTGAATACAAGAGTAAGACAAGGCTGCCTAAAATCACTAATGATCTATTTAATTGTGGTAGACTGGATTATGCGGCAGACCGTTAGACTTAACTTGAACATGGAGAAGATAGAGTTATATATGTCAGTAGAAAGTTTGAGCATTGTGGATTAGATCAAATAAAGTATAATTATATTTTAATAGTTTACACACAATGATAAGTTTTGTTATTGGTAATATTTCGAGCAAAATTACTACTGCCCGTGATCACACACCAACTGTTGCAATTGTTTTGATCATTTTCATCCATATATAGTTCATTCTGTTTTGTTCATTCATTTTTGTGTACTCGGAATTATATTCCAGGTTGTTCATAGTTGTACTGAGTCACCCTTGTTACATGTATCCGGTGTGACCTTAATGAATATAGATTCTGTTATAAGTCTCTCTTTTCATTTGTTCATGTTAGTTTTTAGAATACGCACACATTGTTCCAATCGATATTGTGCTTTCTGTCCCATGCATTTGCAGCTATCGATGAATTTTTTTTCAATATTCAATTTTTTCAAATATTCAATATGCAGGCTTGTGTTCCTGTTGGGGTTGACCTTTAGTTAGGCTTTTATATTCATCCACTCTTATTTTGAGTGATCTGGATGTTTGCCCCAAATATTTAGTCGGACAATCAGCACAAGATATTTTGCAAATCACATTGTTTTTATCCATCATTTTTATGGAATCTTTCAGCGGATTTATTTTATTTTTAATTAGATTCGTCGGTTTAAACGTTGTGCGAATGCCAATATTTTTGAGGTTTCTTTGAATTGCCTCTGATGTACCATTTTTGTATGGTATTGTGACTGATTTTTTCCATTCTTCCATCTTATTATTCTTCGGTTTTACACCCCCCCTTTTTTCTTTTTTGTATTATCTTTTATAAATTCTTTTGGGTAGTTGTTGTCGAGTAGCATTTTGAATAGGACGTTTATTTCTTTACACTGGTCCTCTGGTGTTGTCAGTCAACGTATTCTGTCTGCAAGACCTTGTATTAATCCTCAATTTACTGTGATTGGATGAGTTGAGTGATAATCAGGGAATCTTCCAGAGTGTGTTGTTTTTTCTATATATCGTCGTTTTTATGCTACCATCTGTTATTCTTTGTATTTTTCAGTCTAACATAGGCAATTCCCCGATTTTATTCTCTGTTTGCATAGTGAATTTTATTGTGTCGACATGACTGTTTATGTGAGAGAAGAGTTTCTCAATATCGATTTTGTTCACTATTATAAATGTGTCGTCTGCATATCTCCACCAACATTTTAGTGATGACCTGAATGGTTTAAGGGCATTCTCTTCCCAATAATCTATGAATATATCAGTTATTATTGAAATATAATTATACTTTATTTGAGTTATATATAGTTTAGAAATGGTGTGAGCGTCACTGAAAGAATTTCCAATAGACTGGTGGCTTTTATCAATAGCTACATTTGCTCTATACTGAAGGTATACAGATAGCCGGTCAGTAAGTATAAGCAATAAGGAACTTTCACACTGTAACGAACAGGCTGAAAATCTACTGCTACATGTTGTAACTGTATGCCGTTCGTTAAAAGTTTGAACTAACACATGCTACTGACTTGTACATGTAATCGCTTGACCTATTCGATCATCCCCACTTTGATTAAGTTGGCTCCTTGAATGGATGCCTGAATATTATAATAATAATTTCCAAGCAGAAACCGCAGGTAAGAAAT